ATATATATAGTTGGAGATGTTTTACGCCCCCATCGACGCAGGTATAGGTAATTTAGAAGGCGAACTGCTTCAACCTTGCCTATCACAGTATCAGGGCTAACCCGGGCTGAGAGGGATACAGTGTAGCAGTAATCAGACGGAGATACTCGATTAAAGAAAACCCCAAAAAACAAACAACAACCCCCACCCCCACCCCCAAAAAAGAAAAAACCAAACAAAATAACAACAAAACAAAAAAAACAACAACAGGAAAAAACACCTCCCGACCCGGGAATCGAACTCATGTCTTTTTGGGACGATTGCGAAGCGCCAAACTGCTACAGGACAGACGTCAATAGGTTATATGTAATGAGCACAAAGCAATACTGCCCTATTCAACCTTGCACAACTTCATCTTCTTTTGCTCTCAATCTGGGTGCATCCTCTAACGTCAACAAAGACCAGCATCATTTGAACTTTGAAAGTTAAGCTTTCCACGCCACAAAAACCGAAGTTTTTTTTTTCTTCTTAAATCTTGGTTCAAAGACAAACGTCTCTTGGAATACTGATAATACAAGTGTCGAATTTCTAGACCCAATTATTCAAAACTTAATTAGAAAAATACCGCTGTATATATCTAAACAAAATTAATAATAATATAAAAAGATTAAAATCCCGAAGCAAGCAAAAAGTCGTGAGGAAACTGAGAAATAAATACTTCTGACAGGAAAGTGTCTGGGGGATAATTGAAAATGGTGAAGTATTAGAAGGACATCTCCTATCAAATGCGAAGCTCCGTCAACGACTTAATGTGTTCAGAGGTTCTCCGTTGTCACGACATAGTGTCATCTCCGCCAGTGATCTATGGATCTGTCACAAACCTATTGCAACGTTACACGCTAAGCCAGATTGCCTACCACCAGCACGACTTTAATGAGTTTCCCCCCACAAAGGTAGAGACAACATGATTCCAATGGTGGTAATTTCCGGGGGCCAATAACGCCGTTTATCGAATTTCTCAAATTCAACGGAGAAGCACGCATATTTTACATTTGAGAACACTAATCAACCACCTCTGTAAGGAAATACACCGAGAGAGGGAGGGAGAGGGAGGGGGAGAGAGAGAGAGAGAAATAGAGAGAGAGAAAGAGAGAGAGAGCGAGAGAGGGAGGGAAAGAGAGAGAGAGAGAGCGAGAGAGGGAGGGAAAGAGAGAGAGAGGGAGAGCGAGAGAGGGAGGGAAAGAGAGAAAGAGAGAGACGGGGGAG